TCTGTCGCAGGTATGAAAATCTTTCCCTTTGTTATGTTCTACAATCCTGTGAAATTTGGTGATTTTTGGAGTTGGTCAGAAATTTTGGTTTTCATTCACCAAAAACTGCCGCATGCGACAGCGCGTGGCCAGTGGGCCGACTTTGTCTTTTTAGGTTAAATTTGATACTCTAATTCTATATTTGATATCCGTTCAATGAAATTCTATAGTTTGAACCTAGTTTCGTTAATGTCCACCACTTGAATGTTATAGTAAACGGTTTAAATATGATTGTGAACTACGATTAGCTTAATCCCTTCACATGGTACGTAGGCAATCTAACTCTAAAGTTAGATCCAACCAAAGTAAATTTTATGAGTAAGTTTCAAATAAGGAAACTCATTGTGGTTAATAGACTAAAGATTAACCATGGCTTTGTTTTGGCCTACCACTATGTTTAGCTTCCGAATATTTTGGGGCGTTACAAAAAAATGTACTCACATTTCATCCCATCAACCCATTCACTATCTCCTCTAATATATAGCGAAACAAAGATCAAATCAACCCACTTCCCCCGAAGTGAAAAAGTAAATTCTCAAATAAGAGAGAAGGGAAGGGTTACTCATGATGGTGGTGTGAAGACATAAATTAACTACGTCCAATCAAAGTATGGCACGTGAATTATAATCAATGTGATGAAATTATATTGATTGTGTGAGCAGACTGCTACTTTAACCCTAATGGGCTAAGTAGATTAGTCCGTTGAAGAATGGAAGGTTGTTGCTCTTCCGTTAACTGCATGTATATGTGAATGTTTTAAATTACCTAAAGGAGTATATCATGGAACAATTCCATTTCCTTGCGCTGAAGTTGTGAGAAATGGGCTCGACCAGCAAGAATAGATCCCTTATGCACTATTCAGATCTGGGGAAGAAGCAAAGCTACTTGTTGAAGCCTTGGGTTCAGGCAAATTAGGCGGTTTAAGGAAATTTATTGTATAAAAATAAATAAGTGCACACTTATACTTAAAAAATAATATATTTTGTATAAAAATTAGGTTATATCATTATACTAAAAACCATATATAACTCATCTAAGAAATACATAACTAAAAAGTATATATGTTACATATATTTAATTACAAATTATAGTACACACTAAATATTATGAGTATTTGAATAACTTTTATTAACAATTCTCTTTTATGTGTGATTACGTGGTATTAGGATTTTAGGAATAATTTTCTTTTTCTATTTTTTCTATAATTATAAAGCATTAGGATTCTAGGAATTAGGGATTTAATGCCACATAAACACCAAACCTGCTTGTTTCACTTTTCCACAAACACATTTCACTTTACTAACTACCTAGACGACGTCATCTCTTAGAAAAAAATAGAATAGTTCAGAGACTTCTTCTTCCTCGCGAAGGTCTGCATCTCAGCCCGCCAATGGTGATTTGGCTTTGATTTTTCTGCTTTTGGTTGATTTTGGCTTTCATTAAGTTTGAAATCCGACCTTATCAGTCGATATCTAAACCATTGGTGTACATCGTTTCGAGATTCACAGTAAGCAAAGCAAATCGATGCGAGTTGTTCGATAGCAGGTTGATGTTTCCGCTGAATGTCCACACCGCTCACATTGCCTAGACTGCCGTCTAGAGCCGCCTAAATCCTCCTTGATTTTCTGAACATTTTGGCTTGAATCGAATCAAAACACCACCATCGAGCGCCTAGGCCAATTTTTAAAACATTGCTTGGGTTGATAGAATGAATGAAAATAAATGTCTGTCGTTTTGACCAAATGGAACGTTCTTTCAAAACTACTTTCCTAAGATAATACCATAATTTTCTTCAATGGGCCTTAGTCCGCCATTGGTTGGGAGTAGAAGGAAGTTGACTAGTCGGTTTATAGTGAATTTGTGTAACAAGTATTGATGAGGTTAGCTTCGGATATTAATTCGAGACAGATTTGGGTATCGATTTTTATAGGTCTTGTTTCGCGCCATGCCTTAGATAGTCATGCTTGCCCCTTTTCTAGACCCATAATTTGATCTGATCCCACAAATGAAGGTGTAAAGATTATAACTTTAATCTTTGAGGCAGTCAAGCTATTTTTGTTCACTTCTTTCTTGTTGGATCTTCAAGCGGTTTCGCAATACCTTTACATCATATTAGGAAGGTATGGGTGGTATCTGCTCGTGCATGATGTAGGCTGATCCAACTCAAATGAGGCTAGTTAAGATTCAAGTGTCTCGACCGACCCTTTGTGTATGAAGTAGGTTGATCCAACTCAAGGTACCGATTGGTACGCAGACAGGGACGAGACAAAATGGATGTTTCGTGTTATGTTTGGTATACGCAGGAAGGAACAAGACGGTTGTTCCGTTCTGCGTTTGGTAACGCATGGATGGAACGGAACCAAAAGATTAAATGACTAAAATACCCATGTTCCATATGTTATTTGGTACAATATTTATGCGTGGAACGGGATAAGACTTTTTTTTATTTTTTTTTTATTTTTTATAACTTGTTCAAATTTAAACACTATATGCTTATCCATTATTTGTTTTTCTTGGTCCAAATTTTATTAGGTATATGTTGTGTTCCACATGCAAACCCCTTTAAAATTTGTAATTTACGTCTTCTATGGTTTAGGTTGATGAAGTCAGACTTCCTCGAGCCAGTGAACATTGGACGTAATGAGATGGTTAGCATGAATGAGATGGCTGAGATCGTTCTGTCTCTATGGTCATGGTTGCCATGCAATGTTGAAAAATATATAAGTTTAATGATCATGCATGTCGTAAATGTTTTAGGGTTTAAACATTCAAAACTTAAACAAAGAAAATGAAATATCCAAAACTTAAACATGAAATATCCGAAATCAAACATTCATCCTAACTTAAAAAACAAATAATGTCTTGCTAAAGTTGCTAAAGCAATAATGAAAACACTAGAAGTTGATAAAGTTCATCGTACTAAAACCACAAATACTAAAACCCTAAATTCTCAAAGGCTTTCCATAAACACTTTAATGAAATCTAGCTTCTATGAGTCATTTAAGGTAGACCAAATACACATCAGATCGATATATTTCGCTAACTTCATTGAAATTCTTAGCACCTGATCGTACGAAAGACCCATTGCCTAAAGCTCAGAAGGTAGTCTAGCTTTCGTTTATCCGAAAGTAAAACTTTCCCCTAATTTCTACATTTTAGTAACAGCTTTATTCCAACCTTCACTGATAACAGATACAATATTTGCATCACCATCATTCATACTCCTCTTCCTTTTCCTAACAGGTTAAGATGCACTAGATGTAGCAATATAGGGAGATGGGGTAGGTGAAGGCAGAGGCATCTTGGAAGTCTCGCAATCCTCACTTTCCAAACCCATATTTTCGATTGCATCTGCTGCTAATTCAGCCATACTACATGTGGCTTAGTTTCTCCCAAACACTGTACATAACCATAGATACAACGAGAATGGCTTATTTGGTTTGCAAGATGCATTGGAATGTTTCTACAATAAGAACCCAAAGAAATCAAGGTTAAGACTTTCAAAGCAACTAATTGAGAAAGAATAAGAAACAAAATTTACCTTCACCCACTTATGTAGTATTTTGTCACTATCCACAACAACACATTTTTTTCTCATCATCCTAACCAAATCCAGATGTATTCATCATGTCATATGCAGATGAATACTTTTCTTTTAGATGTTTCAATTTGTTTTGTATATGCTTCAACTTTATATTAATGCCAGGAATATGTTCCCTCGTCTTGGAGGCAACCATTACAAAAGTACCAGCCTTAAAACTGCCAGTCTCACACCTAACACCATCAGCAACCATCTCCTCGAGGATGGTAAGTAGTACATCCTCCTCATGATCAATCCAATTATGTGAGGTGGCCATATAATTTATCAAAGAAGCCATATAATACATAAGTAACACAAATAAACATATTAGTAAGATTATAATCTATTGCCTACTAGAAATCAAGGTAGAATAAAATTACCTTGCACAGAAGTAAGACTATGATGGAGGAAAGAAACCAAAAAATGTACTACAATATGAGTACTTGATGACGTCCCTGTATGGTACCCACATAATTGATCAGCAAGCAATGATGAACAATTTCGTGATAATTCCAAATCATCGTGTTTTTTTTAGATGGTAATTCATTCAACACTTAAACAATAGAACAACCATATACAAGGAGGAGAGATAAGCGTATACGAGAACACCAAATAAAAGACCAGGCTTTATCAGCCATAACATCCAGATAACTCTCATTTAGCCATAAACAAAAGAACTCTCATTCAGTAAAGAAAAAGACATCAAGCTTTATCAGCCATAACATCCAGATAACTCCCAATTACCACATTACAAATTCAAGTCTACTTATTTCGATACACCATTTTTCCAATCGAAACATAAACTCAATACACATACCCCAAATGGGACAAACGATACTAACTCATTTAGCGTCTTTGCAAGCACTTGTAGTTGTTGGGAATAATTCCAGCAGTATTCTCCTAATTATTAGCTAGTAAGACAACTTACGACAAATAAGAAGGGACTAAAATGAAGAAATGAAAATGCCATTGCAACCAACGTTTGTTTGTCTTCTATATTCATATGCTTGATTCTACAATATGAAGAAATGAAAAGGCCATTGCAATCAGTTTGCTGCAAACGTATAAAGCTATCGATCTATGTTACGAATTGCAAGTTTAAGATATTTCATGCTGAATTCTAATGTACTACTGATCAGTAGAAAAAGTTGTGCATAATTGAAGAGTATCATGCAATTCATTCTTATAATCTAAAACATTGGAAAATTTATCATACAATTAAAAAATCACCATGCGGAAACAACTCATTCCAGCAAATAAAAAACAATAACAAACATGTCAATAGTCTTGATGTTATGAATTTTCAAACCAATTACAACAACTATATTGAGTCCACATCTCAATAAAAGACAATTACAACAACTATCATGTCAACCAATTTTCAAGCTCTCATTCCTTTCCACTCATCATATATTTCTCTTGCAAGATCATCCTTCCATTGAGTCCATGTCTGGCTTGACTCAACGGTTTCAATGTAGGCTAATATTTCTGGTAAATCTTCCATTATAGGCAATTCATCAAATGCAAGCCTTGCATTTTCCTCAGGATCAACCGCCATATACATTCTGATAAAATTATAAAGTAAACTACATGCGATGATCATTCGTCCCTGAATCTTGATTGGATAGTAGGAAGAACTTCACAAGATAGCCCAACGTCTTTTGAGAAGGCCAAAACATCTCTCAATGACATTCCTAGCACGTGAGTGTTTCATATTAAAATATTCTTCACGATTCCCAGGTGCACGTGCATTGTCTTCCCACTCTTGCAAATGGTATCTAGTGCCTCTATATGGTGCCAGAAAACCCTCACCATTTGTATATCCAGAATCAACCAAATAGTATGTACCTATATTAGTTGATAATAAATTTTAGTTGTTGGCCAACAAAGGTAAGGAAGAATACTAGGTACTTGTCTATCTTACCAGTTGGGACCTTGAGACCATTAGCTCTAGTAACAGCGTCACCAAGAACTCTTGAAGCAGTAGCTGATCCCTCCCAACCGGATAACACATATACGAATTTGAGGTCATGTGTGCATACACCTAACACATTAGTTGCTATATGACCCTTCCTTGTTCTATATCTTGGTCTATCGACATCAGGCACAATGACCTCTATGTATGTTACCTTTAAGCAACCCCAGACAAAAGAAAAACTTATATTAATTAGCAACTACAAATAATTATGTTATTAATGATTTTACTATGATGCTTACCTTTAAGCATTTCCATCTTGATTCCGTGCAATCATCTGGGATAAGTGTTGGTGAGGTTCCTCATTCCCCAGCAGGAACTTGAGATCTCCAGTTCATTCGAAACGCAAGAGTAACACAACTAGATATAAAGCAAATTAGCAAACAAATAAACCCTGAGGATATTTATGCTTGAAAGAGCTTTCTTTTGCCATGTCTACAACTCTTTTCAAAAATGAAACATCACAACATAAGTTTTTGGGGCAACAAAAACGTATTAGGTTTAAAAAAATAACACAGAACCCAATCCAACAGAGGAAAATCCAAAACATGTAACCCAATCCAATCCAACAGAACCCCAAGACATCAGATTTATAGATTTTAGCACATAAAAATCGAAACTTGAACATTGAAAAAATAAATCCAGATAGAGAGATACCTCTGAATGCAATACTACTCAATAGGGGGAGTGGAAGCAAATAAACAGAGGCGGATCTTTGGTTGCAGATGCAGTATTGGGCAGATCGAAGCACTACAAAATACAAAGAAATCGAAACAAGCAAATCAGAAAAGAATATAAAGAAATCGAAGCACTGCAAAATACAAAAGCAATTTAGCAAAATTAGGAACTGGGTGTTAATGACATCGAAACAAGCAAATCAGAAAAGAATAATAATGCCACTTCAAATTTACATCAAAATTAATTAAAGGACCTCCTGGAAGCAATTTTGTTATTTTCAGTTGCAGATACAATATTGGGTAGATTGAAGCACTACAAAATACAAAGAAAGAGAGACCGAGAGGCTACACAATCACAATTAGATCGAACCTGGAATGGAGATGCAAAGCTGAAGTTCACAGATAAGCTACATGGAAGAGGATGAGGAGGAAGGTTGCGAAGCGGAGATGCAGAGTTGAAGAAGTTCACAGCGGCAGAGAAGAGAAGATGATAGTTAGGGTTTATTGTATGATTTAGATGGTGTAAATATTGAAAAAGACAAGGGGTATTTTTGTCTTTAAATGTTATAAATTTATGTTCCACGGACATGAAACAAGTCGTTATAGGGGGGAAGCGGAATGAAAAATCACCCAAAACTTGTCCTGTAATACAGCATGTTCCACATGTTTTAGGCACACCAAACGTGGGACGGAACGTCTCGTCCCACTCTATTCCGTCATGTCTCACGTACCAAACGGTACCCAAATGACCCACAAGTAGACATGTTTCTCTTTAGGGGATATGGTCGTCGGACCCTCGTAGCTCTACCTGTAGGCTGCCTAAGTAAGTAGGGGTGGGCACTTGGAACCGAAAACCGAAACCGAAACACGAATCGAATCAAACCGCACCGAACGGTTTGGTTTTGCGGTTTTGGTTTCGAAACCGAACCGCGGCAAAGAAAACGGTTTGGTTTCGGTTTTGGGTTTTCAAAACCACACCGAAACCAAAATCGCACCATATAATAAAATTAATAAATAAATGTTATATTTTAAAATTTTAATTAGTTCAACTAGGTTACTAGACTATCATTATCATCTAGTTTTGCCCATCGACTCTTGAAGGTTGAAACACATCTCCTTAACTCATCTTCTTAAAACTCCTTTTTGGTGCAGTTTTGTTGCAATTTTTTGCTCCAGTTTTGGTGCAGATTTTCTGCAGTTTTCATGCAGTTTTTTGCTGCATGTTTGGTGCAGCTTTGCTAAGTTTTTTGTTGCAGTTTTGGTGCTGTTTTTCTGTTGTTTTACTGCGTTTTTATGCAGTTTTGGTGCTGTTTTTTGCTGCATTTTTTTTGCAGTTTTGCCACTGTTTTTTGCTGCATTGTTGCTGTTTTTGTTGCAATTTTGCTGCATATTCATTAATTAATATATAAGAAAAATAAGATCGTCTTATGCATAAATAGGTGTATATTTTAAATTGTACATTTTTTCCTCAAAAACCAAACCGAAACCGTTTGAAACTGCACCGAACCGAACCAAACGGTTTGGTTTCATTTCGGTTTTGGCTTCAAAACCGCACCACACCGTACCGTAAAAAGTTTCGATTTCGGTTGTGGTTTCACTCGAAACCGCATCGAACCGCACCGCGCCCACCCCTATAAGTAAGTATAGGAAGGCTCTAATAAGTCTCTAATTGAAGGAAAATTTTGTCTGAAAGAGGAGTATTTGAGTAACACGTACATTTAAAATGCGATTGAAAGAAACACAGATTAACATGAAAAATTAAAAATTGTTTCCCATGAAATTTAAAACCTCATAAATGGTGAACCAAAACTCAATTCAAAACTCAAAGAGCAAGCAATGAAGACCCTTACTTTGGGTGATTACCTTTATAAAACAAAAGGTGTTCTTCAAGGTAGAAAGACTTATAGAATGGAAATTTCCTTGTCTTAGTAGAATTAAACTTCCATCTTAAAAGTTTTTGACTTGAGACTGCAGAGCATCTTTATCACGCCCCTGATCTCAAGACTGCATAGTTGCGTCATAATTTGCCTATGATGGGTTTTGAGAGTATAATCAATTGAGATTTTGAGGAATTTCAAAGTTTGATGGATTTTAATTGATATATTGAGATTCCATGCACAAATTTAAGTAAATCTTTCAAAATATCAGAGGAAGAGGTGAGTTGTGATGCTTAAATACACTACCAATTCTATCGAAATCCTTTAGTTTTTTAAATCATAAAAAAAAAAACTAGGAAATTATCGTTGGTATTCCAAAATTTTCATTTTGCACTCCAAATTTTTTATATCTAGAACAAAAAAAATACACGTATGAGTGTATAATGAAATTTTTATGAATGCTAATAATAGTTCTAGAAATCAATTCCTAACTTATAAACTCTCTTAAAATTCTAATTCCTAATTTATAGGCTCTTTTAATACATCTAAATTTTGCGAGTTATTTTAAAATTCTAATTGAATAAACTTGGATTTTGTAAATTTTTATAAACTCTCTTAAAAATCAATTGAATACGTCACTTTTAAAATTTTGATATAATAGTCCCTGAATGTGTATAAAGCATTGAAATCCTTGAACAAAAAAATCCCAATTGAATACATGTCTTATTCTAGAGGAATATAAGAAATTTTGTGTTACTCTCTCGTTGGTGGTATTCCTCAAAGCTTAAATAAAATCTTGCCTAATTTAAAATAAAAATAGATATTTTCTTTTTCATCTTTGTGGAATGAGTTTTATTTTCCTCCAAATATTTCTGGTTCAAGTTTTGACAAGAAACATGGACAAACTAGTTCAAAGATATTTCTCCATCAGTTACCGAAAAATCCACACTTAGCTTTTCCTGGTTCAGAAAATATAGGTCTACTTATCAATCCACAACCCAACAACAAAATCAATCAAATTATCTTTCAATTCGATATTTAACACCCACAATAGTGTTCAACATTTTTTTTTTCTTCAAATAAAGTCAAAGTAAGGATCCCAGTATTTGTAGCTCCATTCTCCTTTTTGTGTTTGGTCAATAGTAATGCCGCATTATTCACAATTTTTTATTAGTTTTTGTTATAAAAATAAAAATAATAAAATGAAGGAAAAATAACACACTTGTTCCCTATGACCAGAGAGTTCAAAAAATTATACTTTCCTCTGAACTATTAAATTAGAATTTACTGTTAAATTAAAATCAAACGGAAAATTATACTTCGTCTTAACTATTAAATTAGAATTTACAGTTAAATTAAAATCAAACGGTGAGCGACCGCAACTCAAATAAAAGAAGGAAGTGAAGCAAGGAGGTTACATAAACGGATAAAAGATATACATTTTTACCAATTCACGCAGCCTCTTGTCGCCATAAACAGAGAGAGAGGAAAAGCAGTAGCTGGACCACCTCAGATTCATCACACAAATTAAATTCACACCATTATTCTCCCCCATTTCTCCCTTCTCCCGAAAACTCAGCTCAAATCTCTCTCTCTCTCTCTCTCTCTCTCTCTCTCTCTCTCGCCGAGGCATCGACAACACCAGCATGATGTGGGACGAGTGGGACGACACCATTTTCTCCGACGCCGACCAACAACAACAACAACAATCCGACCAGGATTCTCACCTCAATTTCGATTTCTTCTCCGACCTCTCCAAACCCAAGGTCTTCTTCTTTCCCCAGCACAATTAGGGTTTTCTTAATAATTTGTTTTCGATATTTTGAGCTGGTAATTTAGTTAATTACGTGGGTGTTGCTGTATGTAGGACTACTACAAGATATTGGAAGTGGATTATGATGCCAATGATGACGCCATTCGCTCTAACTACATCCGCCTCGCATTGGTTTGTATTTTCGATTATTTTACACTATTTTTTTTGTTTTTTATTACTTGGGTTCCTTTTTTTGCTGATTGAAATGCTTTAAAGTTTGCGTCTTTGTGGTTTGTGGGTGCAGAAATGGCATCCGGATAAGCACAAGGACCAGGACAGTGCCACCTCCAGGTTCCAAGAGATAAACGAAGCTTACCAAGGTCAATTTTACATTCTTGCCGTTTTGCATTTTGCCGTACTTTTGAGCTAGCGACGGTTGCTTAGAGTTTTCGGATTCTCGGAAATAATGGGTTTGCTGCAAAATTTGAGCTAGAACATACTACTTGAGTGGAGTAATTTGTGTGCTAATTTAGGACCATATGTGCACATTGACACATTAGTTTTGATTTCGGAGTAATCAGAGACTTTGTTATCAGATACGGTGATGTGGGGTTTAAATTTTGGGCTAGGAAGTCTGGGGCGGTGTTAAGTTTTTTTTACGGAACTGTATGTTAGTGAAGAGGGTTGTTGAGTGTAAACATCTCTTGTTTGGTGGATTGTTGCAACTACCTAACAGTCGACCATTTAGGTAGTTGTTACTTGTCCATTCTTAGAGAACTCTGTTGTAAAATTAGGTGTCACCAGTTTCCCTGAGTCACACCACCATTTTTAGCAGGTGTTTCAATCATTTTCTCATCATACTCGTAGCTACTTTGATTAGTCTCTGGTGTGTCCAGATGACTTTCGACTTTTCGTGTAGGGTTTAATGAATCAGCTGTTATTTGGGAACCTGGGGACTGGGGTTGCCCTTTATGGCCAGATGAGATTTCGAGGAAGGTTGGCCATGGCACTTGCAGCAAGCATTTCATATGACAATTTAATTTAGAGGTGTAGACTTGTGGCTTATCTGGTTCATGCTGTAGTTGATTCAAACCAACATCTATTAGTAATTTAATCGAATCCATCTGTGTTTCATCAATTTTCCATGGCTCACCAAACGTATTATGACAGAGGCTGTATGAAAGTAGTTTTTGAGCCCTACAGTGATAATAGTCCAATAGATGTCCGCTTGATGCATGATTGTTTTATTACCAAATATACGAGTATAATCTGGAGTTTTTAGAAAGCTGAAGGAGTGTGAAGTTGGTATTCGGTACTGAAATTACTGGCTCCTTAGATTACTGTATAATTAGAAATGACCTCTGGATGACAAAACATCAAACGAAACATGGACAATATGGGGAATTACTGGAAAGGCTTGCAAAAAAAATACAGCGGGGAAGCAAATTTTTGCAAAAACGGATTTGCCAGCTTGTTCTTCAGTGTAGTTCATCCATTAAGTTTTCCAACTTGACGAAAAGGTATCTGGGAAATACTATCTAGATATGAGTTTCCCGTTAGCCATATGTGTGTTAACCGTTAACCTTCGGAAGGCATGCTTCCCAAAGGTAACATCTAGACTATGCTGCTTGATGATTGGATATGCTACACTGAACAATATATAAAGTCAGAAGAAGAATATTGTAACTCAACTGATTTACATTAAACTTATTTTAGCCGAGTGAGGCCTTCATGCCTTTTAATTTTCCTTGTACATGTATATATCTATTTCTCCTTGGTACATTCCCCAAGAGAACTCAGATGTCACTTGGCTTCTATGTACAATTTATTTTTCGTTTTTGGTAGTTCCACAAATGGGTTCTTGCTTCTTGGAGGACTCATAATATAACTCTAATGAAATGTCTAGCAAATGATTTGGATCTGACCAAGAGTTTTGATTTTATTGAACAGTTTTGAGTGATCCAGCGAAGAGAATAGAATATGACAAAAAAGGGATGCTTTACGTCTACGACTATAATATAAGTGTAAGAATTCCCTCTTTCTGTACCATCAGATATGTTTCTTTTCCAGCATCTACATTTCCTTCTGTGGTTTTCTTCCTTCTAACTTACTGTTTGTTGACCACAGGAGTACCTAAACCGCTACAAAGGTCTTATATTGACGTGCAATGGCCTCGGGATAAGGACTTCAATTTGGTAATACAAAACAACCTGCACAGGAACCCTTTTCGTTATAGCCGGGAAAAGCTTTACAACGTGCATGGCGCATATTTGCCCGACACTGCAAGCGGCATATTTGGGGAAAACAAGGACCTGTGGCTTTGGTTGTATTTTGAGGTTACTACTATCATGTGCTCGTGTATAAAATAGAGAAACAACATGTTACCTCATTCTTGTAGGGTTGTGTTTGTATAATCTTCTTGTTGCCCTCAATGCTTATCCACTAATTATGGAATTGTTCGGTGGTCGAACCCGAGACGAACCTTTTTTTGTTTGTTTTGGGTACTGAAAAACGTACGTTGGTGACATTTGAGAGCACATGGAACTTATGGTCTTGCTTTTTAATCTGTTGTTCCCATTTCATTGGAAATCTGAGGGATCTAGTTTTTTGGTGCATGCCGTGCTTGGACGGTCGTTCCAACTCATGCTTGTGCGGCCTTTAAAACGTGTGGGAATGTTAGGATCCAATTGCCCCATGTTGAAAAAATAGCATGTCTTGGCGTGGTTTATGACATCTTGGGCACTCTTTCCTTGTAAGCTGGGGTTTAGGGGAAAACTAACCAAAATTGATGTTCAAAAGACTAAATTGCCGTTAGACGAAAACTCTCTTCTCCTTATGTGTTTCTCCTCTCTAAACTTCTCATCTCCATTTCAATTATTGAATTTTTCTACTCGAGGTCTCGAATTCCTCTCCCAGACACTCACACATCGCTCAATGACTATTACAGCTCGGGTAGCAATCATGAAACTCGTCGTACGGTGAAGGCCCTTAATTGCAGGTTTTGTGGTAAGCAAAAATTGGAGCTCGGTGATGTGCTGATCTCTTGGTTTAATTGCTTTTGAGTAGAGCTAACAGAGTATTGTGGTGGTGCCTGAACCCTGGTGGTTCAACAATAGAGATGAGGTACAGAGTAAAAAAAAAATCACAATATTGGGGGGAAGAGAGGGAGTTTTAGTCTAGGGGTAATTAAGCAATTTTGGTTAGTTTTATAAGCATTGGAAAAACTAGGCTATATTTCAACAAGTGCTCTTCAGAATGGCTATATTTTCAAATTTTCCGATTTTTTAGTGACAAGTTTTTAATTATAAGATAGTGGTGCTCTTTCCTTATAAGCTGGTTTTTAGCGTCAGGTTCTTAATAATTTCTTAATATTTGATATTAAAGTCTGATTATACCACTTAATTAGGCCTAGTCTTCAAAAGATAATCTCATGTAACCACTAACGTCACATGACAAACATCTATTGGATAGTCTGTGTAATTTTTCTTTTCAAAAAGATAGTCTGTGTAATTTTTAAACATGTGGCAAACATTTAATGGACGAGTGACGCCACTGAGACTATGCATTGATTACAAGAGAGAATCTCCTCTAATCTTCGTGAAAGGGGCAAACCTATAGGTTGGAAGTGGATTAATATTATGTGTGTGCACATTATGAAGTCAGTTGAATGATTGTAGTGTGATGGAATGTTACAATCCAACAGTCCCACAACGAAAATAACATGTCTTGGGCAGTTTGCATCTTTTTGTTACAAGCCAGTTTTTTAGGCAAGTTGTACCTTCTCCGCACAACCCTCCAAGTATCGCGTTGAAAGTCGCGGTATCAGCTTTGCACCCTCTCTCTTTCATCTCCTTGAGCAACTCTACAGACTCAGCAGCAATTAACCAAAGCAGTGTAAGTTGTAACCAACTGTATCGGACTTTATGCTGAAACTCGTCGTTTTCATGGAAATTTTCCTTGGCCTCCTCCTCTCTCTTCTCTTTACAGAAACCATTCATCAGATGCTTTGTTAGATCTGAATTTGGATTATGGATGAGATAATCAAGGATGACATGTTAGAAAAAAAATTATTTTCATTGGATTAATCGGATACTTTGTTAGATCATCGGATACTTTGATACCGCGTTACATGGATTAAGAAATATGGGCCGAAACTTCGCTATAATTCAAGTAGTTATAATTGTAACCATTAGCTGGTAACCCAGTAGTAAAGGACGGATTACAAAGCTTCCTTAAAACTAAAAACTAGAGGTTTCGAGTCCAAAATCCGTTGTTGGTATGAAAGCCAAACTTGTGGTAAAGGAAAGACTGAAATGTCTTTGTGAGTCTTCCTAACCCATGTGGTTTGTCACCAATTGTCCCTTAAAAAAAAAAAAAAAAAAAAAAAAAAGTAGTTATAATTGTCCTAGTTTAAATTGCTATAGTTCACTAATTGTTGCAATTTAGGTACGACAAAATTGTTTTTTTTTTTTTTAACAAAATTAACTGTTAGCCAATTTTTTTTTACTAAAGAGGATGCTCTAAGTAATCAATTTTTTTTCTTTTCAAAACAGTTACCAAACTTGAACGAAGACAGACTTTTAAGAGGATGATTTGATAACCATTTCGTTTTAAGTTTTCACAAAGATTTTGTTTGGTAAGTTGGTAATTGCTTTCAATTTTTGGTTTTCACAAAGATGAAAACCGTTTTTGGACCAAAAAAAAAAACAGTTTTGAAAAATTTCTCTAAAAACAATTTCAGGTTTCGTTTTCATTTTCACTCCCTTTTATCAGTCACCAATTCCATGTCACAAAACATGCATCGTACCCCCATCTCAAAAATCGATCTCTAAAACCTTTTGACTTGGATCAGGCCGCTCGACTCTTGTTTCCAAAGCTAAACATGATAGTGGAATATTTTACTCACATCAGAACACCTTGAGAATTGCATGCTGGAAGAAATGGACACCAAGAAAAACCAAGAGGAAAAACACAATGCCATGTAGAGGTAAACTTAAGTTATTTAACTATAAAGTCCACATATTATCTTAGAAACTGACCAACAGGAAACCCGGCAGCGATGGTGATTCTCGATTACAACTGTAACACCAGGAAGCTGATATACAGCTTGTTTTATTTGGGATGCTTGCACACATACCTGCACATAATCAAACACAATAGAAACATCTGCTTGCCCACTTCAAACACTCGAACGTGCTTTGAGTCAGTCCCTTGTGCTGTTTTTGATCCATTCTAAGTACGGGAGACTGCCTGCGTTGATGGGTAAGGCGATAACTTCTGGAACACTGATAAAAGTGAAAACAAGAAAAGAGAAGTCAGTCCTGGTAGAGTATTAGGTGGAATTTGCGGCAGTAATCCTTGGAGAGGGGGTTAGGCATATGATCTTGTCAATCAGTTACGTAGAGTATTTTTGTGGCTGCCACAATCTTCTATTTATTTGGAACTTTCAGCTTGCAACGAAATTATATGAAATTTATTCAGTAAAATCTTTGGGCTTACTCGTATGGATGGTTTGCCTTGACATGCGCTGTCAGACCTTCAAAAAGGGATTGCCTTGTCTTGATTATGAGAAGTTCTTCAGAATCTGTCTGGACCTATCCACCAATAAGAAAGGGTGAAATAAAAACACATATATTTTGCAGATCTCGTGCTTACTTGTGAAAATATACAATTTTCAATGAAACAAAGTGGAAGGGTTATTAAGGGTATCTCTGCACCCTTCTCTATGATCATGCGATGATCCATGCTATCTTGGGAAATGTGATCGGTACCTCTCCTTTCCACTGATAGACGGACTCAATGCCTGCATTCACAATATTCAACATGAATCAGACAAGAAATACAACCTTGAAGGCTTGATGCAAGTAGTATGCAAGAATGTTAATGAGGAAATTCTTAAGTTCGGTTGTCAATTCTAGATTAAAATGCAATATCAATAGACGGGACGACATGAGAAATTTATTTTAAAAGACCCAAATTAACAGTTCAAGTGATAGCATGCATGTTAAGAAGTACAGAGCTTGGGAAATCCCAACAAACATCAATGTTCTTCCTATACCAAGCGATTAACCAACACACATTGTAATCTTGATCAGCAGTAACAGAAAAACATATAAGAGAAGAAAAAAGTGGGTGGGGAAGGGGGCTGATAAACTCTCAGTACGAACTAAATTCCACAACCATGTTTTAGCAGATGGTACAAGAAAAAAGATGTTTGGCCTATATTCTTACTAATGTAATTCCATTACAAAGGGACAAATAATCTTATCTGCTGAATTATTCTATTCTGTTGACAGGCTGCAAACTGATCCAAAACTTGGGGGTAACTCCAAGTCAGATGGTTGGCGTTAACCCGAAAATTACGATCATTCAGGCTTATAAAAAACACTCAAGCATCAACTTGTAAAATTTGTGTTCAGTCTTTCCGTTATTATTTTGCTTTCCCAGAAAAGAGTTCAGTCAGAACAAGCAAATGTAAACTTGACAGCCCATGCTCTTTGGAATATATACGGATGACTTCAATTGGTCGACAGCAAAAGCAGTAGACAAAACAATATCCAAGCATAATGTAAGGATTAATATGAAGTAATGTACCTGGCACTAGGTTAACACAGGCTGCAAGTTGTTCTCTGACTAAGCTTTCAGCCAACTTCTTTCCTGCAGAAAGATAGTATGTCATAAAAGATCGAATACATAATGTAGTTTCAGCTACAGTCTTCCAACCCTTAAACCAAGTTACCATGCACATTACATTTAACTCATCATCATTTCACACAAAAATTCAAGCATACGTTCATCTTGTTTCTCAATTATCAAGCACCCAATGATGAAAAATCGTACAACTTTTCGAAAAAGAAAACAAACCCAAATCAAAAAATGCTAAACGAAGAAAACCCATCAATCATTCTATCAATAAAATACCAACCTACTTCTCTGCTGGGCACAGTCACATAAACAACAATACTTGGAACAGTGGCACTGCTACTCCCTTCCATCCTCACAGAATGAACGGCTGCTGATTGGCTGCCAAACCTTGATCTACAAACCCACAGCACAGTAAACAATGAAATTACACAAAACCCCTTTTGGAATCGGATAACGAAGGTGAAGAAGGTGGCCGTGTTTACCTCAAGAGAGGGGCAAAAGGGAGAGAGAGAGCAGTGCCGGTTCTGAAGGCGGAGAAGGGGAGAGTGGGAAGGAGGTTGGAGATGCCCAAGGTGACAACGCAGAATGCTCCCACCAGGGGAAGACGGCGTCGTAACGTGGCGGAGGAGGAGATGGTTCGAAGGGCTCTGGGTCTGCAGAAGAGTGTAGAAGCCATTTGTGAGAAGCAGCTGGTGGGTATCTATAGTTTTGTTGCGCGTCATCATTCAGCCTGTTTGGGATTCGTTTCATGATGCTCTAACCCGGGATAACATGATCCCAACCGCAATTTTTTTTTCGTTTTTGGGTCAGAGTGATCCCAACAGCTATGCAATTATAAATGTAAGTCATTTTTACTTTTCATATACTTTTTTAATTTTCGGATCAAATGAATTGATGTAAATCAAAGAACATAAATTCATAAAAAGTGTATAAGAAGTAAATAG